TTTTTTTTTTTTTTTTTTTTTTTTTTCTCTCGCTAGGATTAACAGAAGGGAAGAGACTATGTAGGCAGAGAGTATGGCTGAGGATTGAAACTTGAATTTTGAAAAACGTTAGTTTTCCTCCGGGATGAAAGAAATTTGTGGTGTAGATGGTTGGTTTATAGAGCCACATGGCCTCCTATGAAAGTTCATTATGCAGAATTTCTCTATTTGATCTTGTGTTTGTCTTTTACTCTTTTCATCTTTCTTTTGGGGTTATGTTTTCACTCTATTTGACGTGTGTGGCTTATCTCAGATTAATTCTTAGACCCCAAAATTGATTGATACTTACTTTGTGTCTCAATTAACAGAAAAATTGTTAATTATTAACGATAGGTGTGGGGGTTAAGTTAGAATACAAGGCCTGTGAATTAATCTAAAAAAATACAACCCCTTTCCCTTCCCGAAGTGATTATCTGTAGCCATAGAGCTTGGGTTGTCTTGTAAAGTCAGTTATGAAACAAGTGTCCTGAATCAGTCCAATCGTAAATTCATTTCTTTATTCACAGATTTGACAGCTACCAATGATGATCCAAGTGTCGTGTTATCTTGTTTTGATCTTTTAATCCCACCAAAACTCATTCTCTACCGTTCAACGTGGCATTTGAAATCTGTGTTAACAAGGTGATGTGGGCGTTGCCTCAACTCGCCAACATCAAGTACTCTGGCGTTTCAACCGAGAATGTGGAAGAGCATCTCAGTACATACATATATCAGAACAAAGGAGGATTGAGTTTCAGTGACTTTAAATCTGTGTTATAATCTCGGCCTCCTAGCTAAGTAAGCATGGGCATTACTGACTCAACCCAACAGCCTAACTAGCCAATAGCGTGCCAATACCACGACGGCTGCTTTTGGGACAGCCCAGCCTGGGGGAATGGGGGATGACACATACCTGCTGGTTTGGGGTTTTACATGCTGGGATGCCATAGCTTGTTGGAAGATAGCTAAGTTCCACCTACCCTAAGGGCTGCTTTAAACGCTTTCTTCAAAGCATTCATGCTATAACAACTGAAATTCATCTATTTCAACACCAACGAAAAATTGAACATCTTTTCATCCATCATTCAACATTCAACACGTAAACCAAAATGCAATCCCATCCCAGGTCCAAGGGACATTGTTCGCAAGAGAAACACCAGAGAAGAGATGAGGAAACGCATTGAATACAAATAAAATAGTGAAGCATTCGATAGATAAATTCTGAAAAATGAAGAGTCATCAAAAGTCATGTGGCTCTATTAATCGATAATCTCAACAGAAACCATCCATCTACACCACAAATTTCTTTCATCCCGGAGAGGAAAACTACCGTTTTCAAAAATTCAAGTTTCAATCCTCGGTAACACCCTGCCATCCCAGCTATTTCCTTCTCTTCTGTTAATCCCAGCGAGGAGAAAAAATCTCACTCGGGGGTCCAAGGAGAAAACAAATATGCAAAGGGCATCATTTCACCAGATGATTTTGACCATTTTTACTCAAAAGCATCATCATCGTCATCGGGAAGAGGTTGGCTGGCAGCTGCTGCTAATTCAGCTTCATGCCTGCACAAAATAAGCAACATATAGATATAGATTACTCCAACGAATGTGAATGCTTTTGTTAAAAATAATGACTTAGGATGATGAGAAAGTCTCACTGTTGCTGGGCGGCCAAGTCAATGTGTACTTCAGGAGGAGCCAGAGCTGGAGACTCCACGAAATGAATGTTAGCATCCCTGGATTGCCATAACAAAAGGAAGTCCAATGTCATGAAAGTTCCCACATTAAAGAAAAAAAGAAATCCAGAGTAAACAGAGAACTGGATTTACCCAGCTAACTTCCTGGCCAAGTAAAGGAATGGTTTCTCAAAGTTGTAGTTACTCTTCGCAGATATTTCATAGTACTGTAGGTTCTTCTTCCTGTGGAATGTGACTTGCTTGGCCTTCACCTGCCTATTTTTCACATCGACCTTGTTTCCACAAAGAACAATTGGAATATTCTCGCACACCCTGCAGGTGTTATTAGAAGTAAACAAATGGTAAGCAGGTTCCCTGACAATGCAACAATCATTCATATAAAATAGTTTCATACAAACAAAAGTTAGATTACCTGCAAAGATCACGGTGCCATGTAGGAACGTTTTTGTAAGTCAATCTGGCAGTAACATCAAACATGATGATTGCACATTGCCCATGGATGCTGCAATCGTGGATTAAGACATAAAATTAGGATTTTCAGCGCTAGGAGAATATTGAAATCAGAACAAACATGACAGCCCATCACGGAAATAAAATAACAGACCCACAACAAGATCTCAAAGAAGACCCAAAAAGGTAGTCAATATAAAATAAACTATCAAATCAAATGTACAAGAGAATGTAAGTTTCAGTTCATTTTCAAAATAAACAGTAGAGGCCTAATTAAGAGGGAAAATGATCATCGAAACAGACTCCAACTAGAAATATGGAATTGTGCAACAGAGTACATGGAATATCTAAACCTGAGAGCATAAAAATACACCCAAAAGAATATAAAAGACCAATTTTTTTAACTTACTAGTAGCCATCCCGTAAACCACCGAACTTCTCCTGCCCGGCAGTGTCCCAGCAGTAAAATCTGATCTTTCCACAGTTTGTGAAGAAGTCCAAAGGGTGCACTTCCACGCCAATGGTTGCTAAGTTCATGAAAAACAGTAGAAGAACAAATTCATATAAGAATTTTTTTATTTATTTAAAGAAAGCCCTAACAGTGAATAAACCACAAAATGGAAAAGGATTAGCAAAAATGCTTACGTTCGTATTTCTTTTCAAACTCCCCGGTGATATGCCTTTTCACAAAAGTTGTTTTTCCTGAGCAACATAACATGGTCAATCATACTAGTAATTTCAAGTGTCAAGTATTAGATGAATGCAACTTGACGAAGGAAGATCCTTCGAACTAAAACTATACAAACGCGACATCTCCCTTGATTAACAAAATCCGATACCCTGAACATTCTTGAGTCTCTTTTCTTCTTTCTTTCTTCTTTCTTGTTACCGATCAAAAACCTCTTTAACAAGGCAATAAGCAATAACGAAGAAAGACAAATTTCGACTTTCGAGTTCTAACAAAAAAATTAAAACTCTAATAAAGCATAGATTTCTTCTTAGAACAAAAATCCACTACCCTGTCAATCTCTGCTCAAATCATACGGCATTGTTACAGTTTCAAGTTTTAAGCTCTCTTCTTCTCACGCCAAGCTAAAACAACTACTACTGGCTAGCAAAGACTACTTCACGTCCTAAATGATACATTGCTATCACGAAATGATGCTGATTATTGTTCTCAAAGCAAACACAGAAAACAGAACATACCAGTACCACCATCACCAACAATCACAAGCTTGAAACTCGGATAATCAACAGTCTTCTGGTCCGGCAAAGCCTGTGTAATTCACCACAAAATATAATCAACAAATACTCAGAAAAGTGACCAGATCGAGAAGTGAGACTAGGAGAGACTACCAACCATGAGAATGCGTCGAATGAAATTGCGAAGAGAGAGGAATGAATCGGTTCGGCGATTTAGGTTAAAGACGTGTTGAGAGTTGAGGACGAGGGTTTATATGGTAAGCGGTGCTGGCTTTCAAGTAACGCTATTTTCTTGACCGTTGGATTCGTAGTCAGATCACGCTCCACCGTTGCTTTTCTCCATCGAATTGAATCTTCTGTGATTTTTCAAATTTTGGAGCGCTGTTTTACTATTTCTGACCCACAGAAAAATAATCGATTTAGGATTAATTAGGCTAATTAATAACAATTACTTAATTTTCAATATTTTCATTAATATCCTTAAATTAAAAAAAAAAATCTAAAAATACTCTCTCTAATAACTTTAAATAAAATTGTTATTAATTTTGTTTTCATTAATAAGTATTTTTAACTTGTTTAAAATTTTAAAATTTTTAATAAAATATTTAAAAGTTTTAAAAAACTAAGAGCATTAATGTATTTTCTAAAAAATTTCGAAAATATTAAAATAAAGTATAGATCCAAAATTAACTATATATTTTTTTTTAATTTAGATTATTAAAACTTTTTAATTTTAACTTGCAAAATATATATTTAGTTTTTTTAATATTTATTCTAATAGATTTTTAATACTAAAAAAGTCCACCGTTCGATTTTTTTTTTTTTTATCTATTTTTATATCAAATAGATTCATAATTTTTTTTCAACAAAAAAAGATATTTTAAAATTTTATTAAACATTTTTCAAAATTAAAAATTTATAATATTAAAATTCTAATAGATATAATTCTTTAGTTTTAAAAATAATTTAATAAGTTCTAGAAACGTTTTTAATCATTTATATTAATATTTGTTATAAAATTTTGAAAATATGCTTATTATATACTCATTATGATTATTTAATATGTAAATATTTTCTTTATATAATTTTTTAAAACGCAAATAGCGAATAGTTTAAATTTATAAAATATAATAGTTCAAAGTTATTTAACTTAAGTTATAAATATAATAGTTCAACAAGAATTGAACTTCATATGTAAATTATTTGTAGATAAAATGATGAAAAGGATGATTAGATAGGTAATCACATCACATAATTAATATTTAATGAGTTTATTAAATACTATGGTTGAATCATTTGCTAGGCGTCACGTCATGGTGGACAGGCGGAGCCCAATTCACAGTTCATCCACCGTTTCATAATTCAGACTTCCACTCAAAAAGATTCAGTCCTATCCAAAATGAAAAGATGTTCATACATAAAATATTGCAGATGCTTAGTCACTAATCTACCAAATTTATTATTTCAACATTTTTTTTCTTCGCCAAACACCTCTCGAACCGATGATTGTTCGTGGAAGAACAATGCCAGAACCATAAGAAAAAGGAAAGAAAATACTATACAACTCCTAATCCTTGGAATTGACAATTAATTCATACATTTAGACATAATTACATGTAGTAGATGAGAGGGATCGGCGGCCGCAGGTACTGGCGGAGATCAGGAATCGCCGCGACTTTTGAAGTCGGTAGCGAGGCGAGATGCGATTGCTGAGTGGTACATAACATCGTGAAATGATTCCGTTTCCATCGTCATCAGGCGAAGCTGTCGTGCCTTCGACTCCGTGAAGCAGCCGGGGGAAAATCGATTTCTCGACGATTTCGTCTCTGGATCTGATTTTGAAACTCCGTCGGCTAGGTTTTTAGGGTTGGATTTGTTGCCGGAGTCGATGTAGTCCGGTTCGGAGGACCATCCGAAGACCGGGGCCCACCAATTGGAGGAGGAGGAGGAGGAGGAGGAGGCTTTTCGGCGGTTATGGTCGGCGGAGGAGGCACAGGCACGGATGCTGGTGGGGGCAAAAGTGAAGAGATTAGTCGCCATTTTGGAGAGAGATGATCGGAAAGTACTTTTTTAGACAGAGAGAAGTGGGAAATGGATGTGTTGCTTTTTGCTTTACCTTTGGTAGCGATTTAAAAGGGGGGAAAACTGTGAACGGATAAGACCGGACACGTGGCGATTTGGCGTTTAGAGACGCGTGGGCTAGACAGTCCACTTTTACCGGCTGTTTCGGTTACATGTTTTCGTAGCCGGCTACACCAAGTACGATCATATACATACATACATACATATCATCAACATAACCCTATTTTAGTAGATAATATATATATATATTTATTTATTTATTTTTTTAAATAATCAATTTAATAGAAAATATAAACTAATTCAAATAACCTTTTTGACCTCATTAAAAAGGCCAAAATTATCAAAAATATTCTTTAAATAATCCAAATTCATTTTCCATAATTTCAAATATTCTGAAAAAGGGACGAAAATAAACGCTAGACGACAAGAGAACGGTACGTCTCGTGCCTGGCACGCAAGTCCAACTCCAACGCTTTTTATATTTTCAAATCATAAATTACAAAAATCTAAATTTGATTTTCTTTTTCACTTTTTAAATTCAGAGACATTATCCTCTGGATGCCGTTTCTCCGTAACCTCCTTCCTAGACCGCAGTACGATTGACACGTGTCTACAACTTAATCTCCTCATACTTTGGGAGATACTAACATGTACATGCCGCTTCACCGTAACTTTCTGCTAGGAATGTGACACGTGTTCTGAATAGTGGTTTTCCTAGAAGTTTCCCGTTGGCGCATGCGACAAGCACGTGAACCATGAAAATACCGCCGGGTGCATAGAACTTTCGTTATTTTGGAAAATTTATTATTTCAGAAGCCAAATAGCGCCACGTGTCATTTTCAGCGCTCCCATAAACGACGAGTATATTTGCTGGCGTTCGATTGTTATTTTTTGCTCACACGCAACTTGCCCAAAAATAAATAAATAAATAATAATAATGATTTTGTATTTTGTATTTTTTTGTATATTATAATTCCAAATAATTAAATATGTTAAGATAAGAATCAAAATCGAACATGTGCTACAATCTTTGATTTCAACGAAACGTTTTTTAAATTTTGAATTTGATTTATCATTTAAATCTGCAAATTTTTATATATAATTATTTATTAATTTTATGGTTATTAAAATAGTTTCTTATTAAAAAAAAACGAAAAATGTAGATGAGGAGAATTTTTGGTCTAAATTTAAAATTAATAATAAAAAAAAAAGGTAGCTATTTTTGAAGTTGGGCTGGGTTGGCCCTATGTGGGCTTACAGTATAAATGGCTTATTGGGCCGGGCCTTAAGTTACTTTATTGCTCTGTTTAATAAATTAAAAGCATACATTTTAAGAAAAAAAATGAAAGTAGCACCACCATATCCATCTGTATTTTGTTCATAGGATAAATTAAATTATAAAAAAAATTACATATTAAAAAGAAGGAAATAAAACAAAATCATACCTGGCAGCAAGGAAGCTTCATTATCAGATGAGTTGGAGATGGAGCCAATGTTCGATACTATTTTAGCTGAGTACTAATTTAGACATCAAAAATGTATTGGGTATAACACCACTCCACTATAAAATTTTGTTTTTTTAATTTTAAGTGAAGTGTGAGAAACGAGTGCTAGCAAGGATGTTGGACCTCGAGATGGGTAGATTGTAAGTAAAAGGGGTAGATTATAAGATCAAGCATCGGTTGGAGAGAGGAACGAATTATTCTTTATAAGGGTGTGTAAACCTCTCCTTGTCAAAACACTTTTCAAAAATATCTAGTAACGGTGGGCTTGAACTGTTACACTAATAAACGACCAACCTGAGGGGAAACTCAAAAACGAAAATTTAAAGAGGATAATATCTACTCAATGTAGTCTTTAACTGTTACACTAACAAACGACCAACCTTGGGGGAAAACTCAAAAAAGAAAGTATAAAGAGGACAATATCTACTAGTATTGGGCAATGTGGGCTTGAACTGTTACACTAATGGGCTTGAACGGTTACACTAACAAACGACCAACTTTGAGGGGAAACTCAAAAGGGAAAGTCTAAGAGGACAATATCTACTAGCATTGAGCTTGAACTGTTACCCTAATCAACGATCAACTTAACGGGAAACCCAGAAAGAAAAGTCTAAAGAAGACAATATTTACTAGCATTGGGCTTGAACGATTTTCCTAATCAGCTATCAGCTTAACGGAAAACCCAGAAAAAAAAAAGTCTAAAGACGACAATATCTACTAGTCGTAAGTTTAAACTGTTACACTAACAAGCAACCAAGATCATTCGACCAGAATCGACATATTCGAACTTGTTGAGAATCTCACGCTATAAACAAGGGATATTCATGGTAATCAAAGCAAAACCCAAATATGGGAAATGATGAGCCATTTTTCCCAAGTAATCAAAATAGTTTCATAAGAGATACCTCTTAAGAAAACAATGGCAAGCCCTTGCAATTGTCTTATTTGGGGCTGTGGAGTGGGTGAAACAGTTCGAAACAGCATCGTTTTGGAAGAAACGAATTCAATGTCCCCCAAGTGGCGTCATGATTTATAATATCACCATAATTGCACAAGTGGGTCTCCCATGTCGTAGACGATTGAATTTACAAATCCATCTTTAAAAACACATGCATACAACGGGATTTTCTTTCTTTCTTTTCAGAAGTGGGGCTTTCATCACAAAGAAAATTAATTTGAAGCTCCGAATCTAACTATAATTTCAGCCATTCCTAGAAGTTTCATTCTCAATCAAACACCTTTCGGCAAATAAAATGATATCACAATGGAAATTGAAGGTTTAGTGATGGAAAATTACCGAGAAAGTGAGAGGAATCGGCGCTGTTGATGTTCGGTTTTTCAGCTTGACATTTTCACAAACAGGTGGTGTGCGATACAACTAAGTCAAAGGCATAGCTCAGATATTATGTGTTAGAAATAACGACGCTCCACCTATCTTTACAATAATCAATAAGTTCGTCACGTGAAGAAAATGGTCCAGTGAAGGGGATTGAGTGACCACACAAGTTGGAGTAATAGACCCAAGATAATTGGAATATGGTACAGCAATGGTCCCGTAAGTGTATGAGTTAAGACTAGATTAGATAGCAAAAAAGAAATGGATGGTCTCATAGGTGTGGGTAATGGTCCACGCTTCAACTGGGCTTCAGCCGAACATGATTTATGAAAGCACGACGAAG